AATGATTGATAACAGATATTATTCTTCTGCGAATATCAACCGCAAAGAATTGATATTCGTGTTCGTTAAATCCGAAATCCTGCCACAAATTTACCGTAACGTTACATGGAAAGGGGTTGGACTGTATAACAGAAGCGTCGAGAAAATAGTCTCGCGGTTGAAACGCGTCTCGCCGTGGTGAGTAGCTAGTTTTATGTAAGTTGTCGGTTAAAAAGTTAGCGGATACTTAAGCGCGACGAGTTTTCGCGTAATGGGAGCGCCGAACGGGGGTAAAGAGTCTGCGGGATACTGCGAAGGGATAGAAGGAAATCCTGTTTGCTTGACAATTACTTTTTGTTTCGTCGGTAAATCCAGTCTTCGACTTTCGAACTACTTTGTCCCTTCGTTTTCGCCATTGTTTCTCCTCCTTCTTTCTTGTACCCTCTTATTCTCCTGTGCGACAACGGTGAACCGTTCTACTCTTTACCTCTTCGACGGTAATTCGCCGGCCTTCCGTGGATTTCAATTGTAAATCTCAATGTAAATCTCGGTCTGAATTCGAGTAAGTAAGGTAACAATATCTCGTTCTACAAGTAGTTCCCCAACATTTATTAAATACTTTCCCGTGGTTCCTCGTTGCTCGAGTTCCTTTCCGTATCCCTTCCTCTTTACTTTCTTTCTTCGCTCCATCTTTCTCGGGCGCAAACAGAACGAGCCACGTTCGAAATCCTCTGGGAGACCACCGCGGATTTCTTAACGGCGGAATTTTTCCGCGGATTAATTCATTAATTTCTCACCGGGCGACGCCGCCCCGCCTCGGCTTCCTGTTGCTTCCTTTTGCTTCTGACCGAGTTATCGCCACGGGGCAACTTTTCTTGGCACGTTCGCGGTTCTCGCTCGGGCTTAGCTGATTCCGCGACAACGCTTGACCCGGATCCGCGACGCTCTCGCCGACTATCTACCCTTTTCCCGGGCGGAACCTCTTCCAAACCCTCCTCTAATTACGCCCACTTCCTCTTTGTTGTCGTTCGACGAACGCATTACCAACGGATCGTGTGCAATCGTCGTCCAGTGACTGAGAGGACATTTAGATCGACGCCGTAGCTACCGAAAGTTCATCCATTATCGCATGAAAATTAACGACGGACGACTAAGAATACTCTAATTCGTTACCCAATAGTTAAAACTATTAACAGCTGCCTCGGGGCAACTTAATAAATTATTTCGGCTACTCATTATTTCAGAGAAACTTCTTAACCTCCTATTTTCGCATTGCACAGTTAAAAGCTTTTTTACAGGCTTTCAGTGGACGAAGGCTTAAAATCGAACGATTAAATATGCAATTTCAATCCTATCTATCTCCGGCTAGATATTTTTAGCTAAATGATCACCGAAACAGTCCATTGATTTCGTTCTATAAAAAGATATTTCCGATCGCAATTTTCGAATCAGAATCTCATTCGTTCTGTTCCTCCGTTTCTTCGTGCCACGGGCCGCGCGTTGAGACACGCCGGTGCGAATTGAAAGCTTTCGCAGTTAAAAAAAGTCAATACCCTTTGAGCTTTTGTTGCGTCGGGGAGAAGGCGAAAGAAGGTCGGGGGAAGCGCGAGGGAAAACGGCGACACGCGGAACAGAGGCCTTTCGGGGACGTGTAATTAAGTGCGAGGCAATAATGAAACGCATCATCCCCTCAGCTCGTTGAAGAAATAACAACCCTCCAGGGTACCGTCGGAGGGGGAGGGGATGATTCTTTGAGGAACCAGCAATCCGAGCCGCAGTTTCTAACCAGCTTTCTCACGATGCGTGCTGCGAGATCAATTAACAGCTGGCCCCGCTAATTACAGCCGGAGCGGCGGATTTAAGGGTTGCCGCGGAAATCCTCTTTACTTCTGCTCACAGCGATCCCTCGAATCGTTAACCGTCCCTTTCAAGCTTCAATCGGAGAGCATCAGTCGGAAGCCTCTCGATCTGTCGTTTACCGAATCTCAGATAATCGTTCCATCAACTTTTGCATCACTAAAATACCCCCCTTATATCAGTAAAATATGAATTAATGGATTAATCGATGCCGATACAAAATCAACATAGTAATCTATTCTTTTTTACGATTAGAGTAGCATTTTCTATAAAAACATTTATTTCCGTTGAAGATAGTTAACCCCTTGGTTACCGTTGGCGTCTAAAGGCCCTTTACAAATTAGGTGTCGTACTGTTGGCGCCCATAGGCGGTCGTAAAATGTTACTAACGATAATTGCAGCAAAGCTCGTTTAGATCTGATGTAAGTGAATTTTAATTCAACAATCACACGTTCCGTTAGTCATATATTATATAAATGTGAATATTTTAGATTGGTTTAATTCAGTTCAATTCAGTGTTCCGATGGTATCAATGCACTTTCTTAGAGGTACGCGTTAACGTAAAATTCTTTCGTAGCCAAAGGGTTAACGTATATCGAAAATAAATATATCTTTCAGAACAGTTTTCATTTACGAGCGAAATGGGTTAAATCGCAGGAATAACAGGGATAACCGGGAATCGATCGTTCGAAGCTTCTTCGAACTTCTCCCTGACGTTTCCAAATTTAACTTCGCACGCGGCGATGGTTGCTGAAACATGAAGCGGAGCACTTAATTGAAAAATAGCGAGCGGCGCGCTAAAAGATTCTCCGCGGCGGTGTCCATATAATTCATGTGCCGCTGAGCCGCATTATTCCAGCGAGAACCGTTTCATTATTCAAGAAGTTTTAATGAACGGTCCATCGCGGACCGATCTCGCGGAACGTTTGACACACCCCGGACAGGCCGAGCATTATTTTCGTTATTTTTATTCGCGGCCAAGAGAGAGCCAGCGCGGAGCACCGCGCCGTTGCCGACGCCGCGCGCGTTCGACGACGTATCGATTTGCCATCGGCTGACATTTCTCTTCTTTCTCCGTGGGCTATGAATTTCTTACGACGCCTCCGCGGCCGATCGATACCGTCTGATACTGCCGCGCAATTATACCCGAATTTGCCGATTTATTTCCAAACGTTCTCGAACCATCAACCGGCGTCGACGTTCCCTACCTCCCGTCACTTCGCTCGACGTCCGTCTTTGTTATAAATAAACTTAGTCAGCGGATTACCCAGAAAACTGCATTCCGTCTCGGTGTTTTCTCGTTAGAAGATTTTCTTCCCTCGGATCCTTCGGGTCTCGCGTAAGCCACGTTCCAATGGCAACGACGCAGAATCGACGCCGAGAGAGAGAGAGAGAGAGAAAAAAAAGAACGAGTCACTTGGTCCCCTGCATCACGCACGAATAAATCCTTGATTTCTCCTTATTATCAGCGCCGAATCCTAGAATTTATAGCCGATCGGACCGTGTCAGTTTTTAGCTTAATCGCCGGTGAAATGATAGACCGCGGAACCGTCGGCGAAAAACGGCATGGAAACGTGGAAGTTTGTAATTTTCCAGATTACACGGGTGCCGCGTAATCTTCTCCTCTCCATGAAATTGGCGGCTGCACGCCGACAATGTGTCTCAAATTGACGCTAGGTGCAACGATGTGCAAGGTTAACGCGGTTGGCGGGAGATTAAGAGTTAAGAACAGGGCTCTGCCCGGTCCGGGCGTCCTTTCGGTTTTATGGGGCTGCCAACTTAAGGGGTAATTTGCAAAAAACCGCCTCGGTGGAAGACATGCCTCGATTCCGGCTCGGTCGGTCGGACTCCGACGAAAGTCCCCGGCCCCTCGCCGTGGCCGCGAGCGAGCGCATTCCACGGTTTCTTCGTACGATACTAGAGATAAATCAGCCCGCGTTCTACCGGGAACTATTAACGCGGAGTAAATTAATTTTATAATTGATTAAATTGCCACGTCGAGTGAGACAGTCGAGTTGCTCAACTTTATTGCCCGGGTAAAGGTGTTTTTAAACGGCCCGTGCTCGAAGGGACCGGGTCCCGTGCGCGGTTTCGAACGGAGGGACGCGGAATCGCGCTGCGCTCGCGAAAGGCCAGAGTGAAACAAACGATTTCGAATGATTTGTTTACCGGGGGCCGCTTTGATGTCGCTCATGCAACAAAGTTGCACGGAGTACCGGCGCGATAAGTGGCAAGCGTGAACGCGGCTTAAGCCGTTCAGGTGTTCAGGCGCCACGCTCGCTGATTTATCGATCAATTTATTAATGGGTCAGCTCTTCTCGTGCGTTCGATCATGAATATCGGATGAAGCAGCCCGGCCGACCGAGAGCCAGCCTCATAATTACGGTGATTAATGCCCCGGGCAGGATTAATCGCCGCCGGAGGCTTATATTTTCGAAATTGTCCGTCCGCGCGCGGAAAAATCGAAAAGCCTGCTGCCACTTGTTGTTTCACGGGCAACGAGACCGTGTAATTTGTTCGGCCCCCTTTATGCAACTATGTACGGTCGCGTACCGTGATTTCGTTCCCAGGGATTCATTTAACCGTGGACAGTTCCGAAACCGTCCCCCCTTCCCCTCGGACGCAGATTATTACTCCGATCGGCGACTAATTTCAATAATCGCGCGAAACCTCTACGACGGATCCCGTGCATTCTCCCTGACGAGCAACGTCGTTTATCCCCTATTATGTCGGTGCAACCTGTTTTTCGGACGAGACTGACGGATTTTTCATGAGCTCCCGCCAATTGGTTAACCGATACGGACATAAGTATATTAAAAAGGAATCAAGCAATCTTCCTGTGGATGAATCTGAGAAGATTCTAGCGGACCGTCTTTTAATAATGTATATTCGACTCTAAAACTACCGAGCAGTTAAATTGACATCTTGAAATTCGTCCGTGGAAACTACTAGAGTGCATCTATTGAAACTTTCATTATTTTACAATTCGGTTTGCGCGCTGCTGAACAAAGTTCTTTAATTGTACCCCAGAGAAACATCTGTTATCTTTTTAATAATAATCACAAGGGGAAGGAATTAAGAATGGATCATTTTGATCTGCTTGCTTTAATGGACTCGATGAAGTTTCCGATTTAAACTGACATAATTTCATGTTTCTGTTGCAGAAAGCCTCTTTCGCGTGGTCCGAGGGTGGCGAAGAGGGTGGTGGGGGTGGCGGTGGCGGAGGAGGGGGTGGCGGTGGAGGCGGAGGAACAGGAGGTGCAGGCACGGGAACCACGGGCCCAGCAGCCACCGGTGGCGGTGGACTGGCCCACTGGGTCAGCGTGATGGCCGAACACATCCACAACCCCCATTCCGCGACAGGGGTTGGGGGTGTTCATCATCAGCAGCAGTCGCCTCCTCAGCCACCTTACCCGTGGAACAACGGTCTTTCCGGTGATGTGAGTACTCTTCAGAGAAAATTCCTTGTACCCGTTTCGCTCGGTATTCTGGATCGTTGCGTGCAAAATAATTGCATTGGTACTTCGAAAAAGCAAACGTTTAGTTAACAGCTACCTTTACAGAGTATAAAAAATAAAATACTAACCCTTTGCACTCGAGAATATGTTTCTCAACAAGTATTCATCATTTTCTGATGAAATATCGATATTTTTTACAACAGAATGAAATACCTTGTATCAATTGAGAGACAGAACTTTATTTCGATATTCCATGTGTGGGTATATTATGTAAATCTCAATATTGAATTTTAAATTTTATAATTTTGTTCGGTCGAATCAAATGGCAACTGAGAGGCGCCTCTCGAGTGTAAAGGTTCGAAAGTCAGAACACTGTGTAATTTTCGACTTTTTATGAATTCGAAGGAGATGAGAACGCGGTGAATCGAAGAATTCTATTCTGTTCGATTGAGATTGCAATAAAACCAATAAACTCGATTGGTTTAAAACGTTTTTACGAGATCTACTATGATCTTATAAACCAAAGAACCTAGACTTTTCCTCGCCACTAAATTCTAAAAGGCACCCCACAGTACTTTGAATATCAACCGACAGGAACAGAAATCTCATAGAGGCAAACGGTCCAACGGACGAACTTCTGGGAGAAGTGAAAAAAATGTCAGGGTGGTGGAGGAAACAACGGGGCGCGGCATTAAAGTCCCCCGGAAGAAGACTCACCGTTAAATGCGCGTCGGCACGCCGCGGTCTCGGAAATGCGCGGAAAAAAAAACGGATCCGTCAGTTTTT